GCAGGGAATGGCAGGAGGCGGGAGCATAAGTCCAGGTTTTACTTTCTTATGGGGTCATGTTAGTCTCTCTCTGGCCCTCGGTGAAGGTCATAGCATCTTTCAAGGTCACTCTGTGCAACTTGACTTCCAGAATCCATTAACTGCGCCTCTCCTCATCCCTTCAGACCAGGGTGAGAATAGTTCTGCTATTATTAGGCCCAGAACACTGCACTTTTTTGGTAGTTTTCCAGCACTGTGCCTATGTCTCTGCAAACAGTCCCCTTACCAAGCCCTCTGGGGATGATGCTAATGTGCCCTGTGTTCCTGCAGGGACACAGACACAGACAGAACCCACAGAAACAGCAGAACTCCCCAGAGGACAGCCACATGGTGCACAACGTCAATGGCCCACCCAGGTGCTCCAGGACATTAGAGGGGTCCCAGATGGAGTTCTCCAGAAAAAATAACAATTCCACATGGCTGCTATCGTGACACACTGGATCAACCCAAGCACGTGGGGGAGGGCACCTCATGCTTTGCCATGGTCTGAATGTTTGCAGCCCCCAAATTTATATGTTGAAATCCTCACCCCCTTGCCAGGCAAGGTGGCTCACACCTGCAATCCCAACACTTTGGGAGGCTGAGGTGGGTGAATCACAAGGTCAGGAGTTTGAGACCAGCCTGACTAACATGGTGAAACCCTGTCTCTACTAAAAATACAAAAATTAGCCAGGTGTGGCGGCACACGCCTATAATCCCAGCTACTCAGGAGGCTGAGGCAGGAGAATTGTTTAAACCTGGGAGGTGGAGGCTGCAGTGAGCCGAGATTGAGACACTGTACTCCAGCCTGGGTGACAGAGCGAGACTCTGTCTCCAGAAAAAAAAAAAAAAAAAAAAAAAAAAAAAAAAAAAAAAAAAAAAAAAATTTTAAAAAAAAAAAAAAAAAAAAAAAAAAAGAGAAGAAATCCTCACCCCCATGGTGATAGTCTTAGGGGGTGGGGGCTTTCCAGGTGAATAAGTCATGAGGACACATTATCGTGGATGGGATGAGTGCCCTTATAAATAAGGCATGAGCTAGAAGGCGCTGGGAGCAATGGGCCCTCCCCAGATGGCACCTTGATCTTGGACTTCCAATGTCCCAGAAGTGTGAGAGATGAATGTGTTATTTATAAGCTTCCCAGTCGGTTACAGCAGCCAGACAAACTTCTATTAAAAAGAATAAAAGAACAGCATTTAGAAGTTTAATAAATAAAAGGTCTTAGTTTAAATATAAAGAAACTTAAATGTGGAGGACTTGAAAGAAATAATGGAATACAAGGAAAAGGCATATCTGACCTTAAGGCTGGGAACAATTCCTTCAAGTGGCTCAGGGGTCATCGTCCTGGGCCTTAGGGAGGGACGTACCTCCTAGCAGACCGCTCAGCTCTGGTGCACACCATTCATACCGATGTGCACAGGGGAAACTCATTATGGTTACAGGGCTAAAAGCACACTTCATCAGCTATAAAAGTCATCATCTGATAATATCTGGGAGACGAAAGAGAGAGTGGGGAGGGAAGGGTGGGGTTGGAACCTCCTGGCATTACAGGGTAGGGACCACCGGACACTGCCAGAAATGATGGGACAATATATAGTCCTGAGTACATTTGTTTAAAGCAACAAAGGCAACCACAGGCAAGCCGGGTCTCCTCCCACCACAGCCACTGCTGACCTCGAGGGAGGAGGCCAGCAGAGCCAAGTCCCTGGTGGGTCAGTGACGCTGTGCTCCTGCTGACCTCTCCCCATTTTCAGTGCTCTCTGTCCCGACACCTGCGCCTCTCACTTGGTGGTATTTCCTCCATCCCTTCTTGTTTGCCAAGCCCCTCTTACAGCGTAGCACTTAAAACAGCTTTTCTTTATGGAAATCCACTTATTCCAAAGCTCTTAGGCAGTGTTATAAATATTGGTTTAAAACATCAGCCAGGGGATTATTGATAAAATATAAAATAGAAACTATTTCCCAAGGAAACTTCATCTAAAAATACACCAGTTTCCCCTCTCTCCTCACTTGAGTGGAAGGCAGCTGAGGGAGCGCCAGGACCCGTCTTGGGTGAAGGCCACTTCCTCATGCCTCTCTGACATCATTCCAACGAATCCCCCGGGAATGGGTTGAAAAAAAAATGTGACAATGGAGAAGAGTTGCACCCAAAAAACATGCATATAAACAGGTCTTCCAGCTAGAGAAAAAAGTTCTGCATAAATAATTCAGATTGCTGAGCTTGGTGGCTCACGCCTGTAATCCCAGCACTTTGGGAGGCCAAGACAGCAGTTTGAGACGAACCTGGACAACATCGTGAGATGCAATCTCTACAAAAAATACAAAAAAATCAGTCAGGCAGAAGGCTGCAGTGGGAGGATCGCCTAAGCCTGGGAGGTCAAGAGAGCCATGATCACACCACTGCACTCCAGCCTTGGTGATGGATTGAGGCCCTGTCTCAATGATCAATAATGATACTGATTCAGACAAACCAGGTTGAAAGATGTTCTGAGATGGAGAACTCAGAACCCCGCCACCTAGGGTGGATGCCATGGCTGACAGATCATGAAAGAGCAGCACGGAAGGGCTCTGGAAGGTGTCTCGTTCCTGTCTGTTGTTACTCCCGTTGACCGCTGAGAGCCTTTACGCTCCCCAGAATTGAGTAAGCGGCTCCTGGACAGAAGTGGGGAAAGTGTCCCAGAGGTCTTCCTGCCCAGGGCTATGTTACTTTACTCCATTTAACTGACAAAGCATGAACAGGTCACATTAGTGTCACATGCACGTGATTTAATTCTCCATTTGCAACAATGAAAACTGCGTAACGACATTGTTATATACCCCAGAATTATAATTAATTCTTATTAGTCAATAGAATCTGAGTGCACTAAAATCTCTGTTAGCCAGGACGGATGTAGCCACAATGGCCACACTGTAGAGGCCAGACGAGGTGGCTCAGGCCTGTAATCCCAGCAGTTTGGGAGGCCAAGGCAGGTGGATCATGAGGTCAGGAGTTTGAGACTAGCCTGGCCAACATGGTGAAACCCCGTCTCTACTAAAAATACAAAATTTAGCTGGGTGTGGTGGTGTGCACCTGTAATTTCAGTTATTCGGGAGGCTGAGGCAGGAGAATCACTTGAACCTGGGAGGTGGAGGTTGCAGTGAGCCGAGATGGTGCCACTGCACTTCAGCCTGGGCGACAAAGCAAGACTCAGTCTTGGGCTGGGGGTAGCGCAGGGCAGAGAGAAGGAGAGAAATCAAACAGCAACATCATCTAAAACAAAATTGCAATCCAAATTCTAGGCCAGATTCTGGGATTGGTTTACATCCAGCTTGGTCTGGCCTTGCCACGCCCACAGGGCAGGACACACTGACGTCTGCCTGGGGGCGGGGGCTCTGGTGCTGGCCTCCCACTTTCTGCAGTCCCAGATGCCCAATATTCCTGCAGTCCCTCCTGGACCCAGCCTGTCCTCATCTCAAACTAGGGACTGCTGGCCTGGGCGTGATCCCTTCACTGTTTCTCACTAATATTTCACTCTTGCCTCTTAAAATATGATAAAGACCCTCTCCTTTGACCACACTCGAGTCAGGTTCTTCTGAGCCCTCCCTGTGACCAGTCCCTGACCTTGGCAGGTTTAGGCCAATTTAGCAAGAATCCTGCTGAGTCGGTTTAGTGAAAATCCCGACCAAAGTCCTCAACTCCCACCCTTGGTGTCTGACCACGCTGCTTGCCCTCAGCAAAAATCCTGTCAAGTCTATGCAGCCAGAATCTGCCTTGCCCCTGACCCTTCATCTTAGTAATATCCACCCCCGACCCTACTCCTTGGCTGTCAATTCCCATTTTTCTTTTTGGAGTCAAGCTGGACCTGCCTCCCCTAACCCCACACCTTGCTTTAGCAGCCCCCTCCCTTTGAATAAAGACACCTTTGCCCTCTTTAACAAGCACAGACTGGGAAAGGACATTCCCTGTCCCCCAACCCCAGTGCCCAAGAATCCTCAGCCCCAGTCCTCAGACCTCAAGAAACCCAGCGGGGAACAGGCGTGAATGTCACCAGCCAGGATTGCTGGTGGAAGCACCGCAGCTCCGGAGCACTTTGCAAGTGAGCAGGGCCTGAACAGGGGCTTCTCTGCCATCCACGCCTGGGGAGGACTCCGGGCCCTCGCTTCAGACTGTAGAGCTCCTTTTGCTGTTGCCGGCGGTCTCGGCGACCTTGGGGGTTCACTTAGCACCCCCAGGCCAATATCTGGCCTCTCCTTCCCTGGCTTGTGCCCTGCCTGGGTCTGGACTGTGGGTCACCTAGTGTGCACGTGGGCCTCGGAGGCGCCCTGTGGAGCCCGAGGTCCCAGGGAGAAGCAAAGGGGACCAAGCTCGCACTCACCCAGCTTCCTTTGGAACAATGGCCACTGCAAGGCAACCACCCCGCCCCTCTCCTCCCCTCCACAGCCACCAGGGCCAGGATGATCTCTGGGCGTCACCCCGCCCTGCTCCCCTCTCCCCCCTCCCCCCCACAGCCGAGTCCAGCCTGGTCGCTGCCATGACGGTCAGGGCTGGTCAGGACCGGTCACCGCCCGCCACTACCAGTGGGGACCGGTCAGGGTCGGTCCGGGCCTCCAGTCCCGCGTCCCCGCCGAGGCCAGGCAGGGGGGCGTGGGTGCCCAGGGCTCTAGAACCAAAACCAGCCCGGAGAAAACCTAAAGGACGAACGTTCCGAGTACATATAAGGACTGTTAATATTTATTTCACAACTTTGTTTTTTTAACTTCCTTGTTAAAGAGGAAAATCTAACGCTATAAATAAAACGACTAGCAGCACTTATGCCTGCGTGGGTGGCGCCCACGCCTTTACACTTCAAGTCACAGGGACTCACCCCGCACCCGCGCAGGGCGACTGCTGCGCATGCGTAAACGGAAAGGGTCGGCGCGCGCGCCCAAGACGACGCAAAGGGAACGCACGGCCTAGGGAGGAGGTGGCCTCCGTGCAGGCGCAGAGAGGAGGGGCGAGAGAGCGACTCCTGCGCAAGCGCAGAGTGAAGAGCCGGAAACAGCTGAAGGGGTGAGGAAGATAATGGGGGAGGACCGCGAGGCGGCCTCTGTGAGCCTACAGGAACACGGAGTCGATCAGCCAGACTCGCCTGTGCACAGAGCAGATGAGGTGAGGGGGCTGCTGCGCAGGCGTTGTGTGGAGGCGGGCTGTATTCGGCACAGGCCTTGTGCGGAGGAAGCCACGGCGCAGCCTCCACAATGTGGAGGACACGCCCCCCCCCGCCCCCGACTTGGCGCAGGCGCGGTGTGAAGGAGGCCGGACTTGGCGCAGGTGCAGTGTGGAGAAGGCCTCCCCGGAGGTGCAGACGCAGGTAGGGCAATGGCCGCTGGGGTCTGATGGGCAGCCCAGCCCTCCTCGAGTTTCATGGGCTTGGCCTGCTGGCCTCCTTCAACTGGTGCCGCCGCGTCGCCTACGGGCCTGGCCATATCCTCCCGCCTGGGCAGGCACTTCTGTGCTGCTTTTTAATTGAGATTTTTCCATCCCCTGCACAGGAAGTGTCCTTTAATTACTCCAATGTTTTTATAGTTACTTTTTAAGAAACATTTTGGACTTTTCAATACAGAATGGTGTCAAAATAAAGTTGAACCTTCTTCAGGTTATATTTTAGTGACTGATATATGTTCCAAAGTTGTATGGGATTTCTAAAATTCTAATTTGAGTATATGCTACCACTCATAATTACGGTTATTATGTTGTTATTGTAACTAAATATCCTTGTCAATTGTGTCTTTGTGAGTACTCAGAGTCATTTCCTCAGTTAATTGCTTCAGGCTGATGTAGTTTCTGAAAACTTCACAAGCACACAAAATCGTAGAGCATGGTGTCTTTTAGGAGGTTCATGAAAGGATGGCAAGGATGCTGAAAAGCACTGTTGAATGCAGGTTTCTAATAACTTTAAAATCACATCATTTGGACTGGGTAAGAATTGCTGAAACTTTAATGAAAAGACTGGCTTATAAAATTGCTAACCCAAATAGAACAAAAATTAATTAAATACCAAGGAAATACTTCAGCAGGTTTGCATTCTAAATCAGCCAATACTGAAATTGCTTAGGTACTCAATTTGAGTGAACTCCATGGTCTAAGTCAAATTACCTGTGGTAACCCATCAGTTATCCATGCTATGCACCGAATTTGGAGAAGCAATTGGTACCCAAGAGGACGTAAGTCCAGTGTTAAGCATGGATTCATGGAGAACCAGGACAGCTGCCTTGTCCTTCCTGAATCTTAAAGCTTTTGTTATTAAAAGTTGTGCATTCCATGACTCATCTGGAAAAGACAAAATGATCCAAATTAAATATATTGGTGTGGTGATTAATAAATTGTTAAAATAGTTTATAACCAATGTTTAGTTTGTCAAACCGTCAAAGCATCACGTACGTTTGGCTACCTGAGGGGCCATTTAAACATTTATAAAGGGATTTCATTCAGTTTTCATTTTCAGTGTATGTTTTCTGGTTGTATGAAAGCCTTGCCATGCAGGAGGACTAGTGTTATAACAGTAGATTATTATGCTTCATTGTATTTTCACCAAGTGAAGAGCTTTTTATTGTTCACTGAGGACAATCAATCCGTTCACAGTTTAGAACCCAAAGATGGAATCTTTGAGAACATCAGAGGAAAACTTCCCTTGCCATCCACACTGCAATAAAACATCAGGATCTTGAACCTTGTGGTCATAATCTCACACCTGAGGAGGGTCACTCCACACTCTTGGAATGGTACATTCATTGAAACCCTAAGGTAAAGCTAACCAGGGAAGTTTCTCCCCAGAAGAAGATGACATCTTTGATGTCAACAGATTTTTCTGAAGATCTTGGATTAAAACTTCTCTACTATCATGAGACTCTTATCTTTGAATTTTTTTCCCTTGCTTATGCCTCTATGAACAATAGAAGTGAGAAGGAGGTCTGTTGTGTGCACTTATGGGGTATACTTTTATTTGTGAAGGATTTTGCAGCCAGCTTTATACATGGATAATCTTGTAACCTGATAGATAAAAGATGAAGGCCCAATGTATCATAGGTGAGAAACTTTAATGGTACATAATGTTGCCTCATAATCACTCAGAAACAGAACATTGGTTCACTCCTCTTAACCCACATCATGGGTTACAGAGAACATTGCCAGGAGCCTTTCCTCTTCTAGAAGGGCATAATTTGTTAGGTCTTTTTTCCGTGATTTGGAATAAAAAGGGCAATGATTAGAAATGTATCCCTCTTGATAGGCTCTATAGCAGATTCTGCCATGAGGACTATACCACAGACTTTAAATTCTTTTGTGAAAGTTATGTTAAATGATAGAATTGGCTAAACAGGAAAGTATCTGTGCAGCTACTGGCACTTCAGACCTATGGAGAAAACATCAGGTATTAAAGAGACTCAGTTGTAGGGAACTAATGAAAAGACCACTTAGTTAAGTGAGTAGACTCTATCTAGCTAATTCTTCCATTCATTTGATTTCAGGTGGTTTCGTTTATGGGGACCCTGGGTAAGGAGCATACTCCAAACTCTTGGTGTTGCCCTCCCAGTAGTCATGATAATAGCCTCCCTGGTGCACTGTATTCTGTCAAAGGTTTTAAGGGTTTGCCTGTAGCCATCTTTAGAATGTCAAATGAGCTCTCTTCAATTGGAATGATAAACACTGAAAGAAATGTGTGACTCTGAGGACACTGTAACATGCTGAGACTGGAAACCCAAAATGATGGTAACAGAGAGTGGCGCCAATGCCCCAAGCTTTCATCACACTCTTGCCTACATGAGAATCTGACCAAAAAGGGGGAATTTTTAAAACAAAATTATGGGAGGCTGTTGTTTTGGACTGATCACTAGGCCCCAACAGAGCAAACCAAACCAAAGTGTCATCATTTGTGCTAAATGTGACATAATCGAATTAAGATTTTAGGGAAACACATGGGTCCTAGAACAGACCGAGTTTTGTTTTTCTTTTGCAAACAGGACTTTCCAGCATAACGTGGTACCCTCAACTCAGTCCTTGTTCCTACCTTTGCAAAACTCACTGTTCTACTGTTCCCTAGTGGGTTTCAGGACCAATGGTGATAGTGATATCAATAACTCAAGTTTTGGTCAATCTCTCAAAACTGAGAAAATGACCAAAACGGGGGAATTGTTAAACTAAATATGGCCTGAGAAGGACTCCGTACTTCTATATTCGAGTCCTTGTAGACAAACTGCAACCGAACTTAATAGGTAGACAAGATTGAAAGCCTAAATTAGAAGTATGCACCTGTGATAATAGCTGAGTCTTGGCCAATCTCAGTAGCCATACTTTAATCGCTTATACACTGCTGAGTGTTCAAACTGTGTTTAAATAAGGCAAATGGCAACCTGTTACTGATTGAGATGTTTCTGTACCTCACTTCTGATTTCTGTACCTCACTGACCTTTTTTGTCTATAAGTCTTCCACCTAGTGGCTGTGCTGGAGTCTCTCTAAATCTGCTGTGATTCTAGGGGCTACCCGATTTGCAAATCGTTCATTGCTCAGTTAAACTCCTTTACTTTTAATTCAGCTGAAGTTTTCTTTTAACAAGAGTAAGATAATAACTTTCATTCTTATTGCCCAGAATGGACAAATCAGTAGTGTTCTTTGTCATTCTTTTGTGGCCAGTTTCACATAAATATTTTGTGTAATAATAGAATTTGATTTTAATGACTATACTTTAAAAGCAACTTTTTAAAAATTCTTCCTCACCATTGAAGATGGAGAAAAGTAAGAAGGGCTGTCTTGCAGTTCCGTTTCTTTTTTGTATAGTTAAGAAGAATGTTTATCTTACTCTGTCTTTATAGTCCCCAAACCTCAAGTCGTCACTAATATCCTGTGGATGACAGTTTTTATTGTAGTGTTAAATGGCAGATTTATTTACTTGGCAAACATCGTCAAATCTCGAAAAAATTACCCCATGTTCTTGGCTTCTTTCCTCGTGAATGGCCTTGCATGATGGAAAGGATTTGATCTATTTCCTGCTCATCAATTTTTCTAGCTTCTTTGGGATGTCAGCTCTGCATATTTCCTAGGGAATTAAAAAATAATAGCTTCAGCCAGAAACAAGGCAGGAAAGTGCAGTGACATGGGAACCATATAGGGAAGGAGCTATCCCCAGAAGTGAGAATAGCCCTGGGCAAGGGAACTCTCTGTGACTTTGCTCAGAGCAGACCACTTTGATCTTTTTATCACCATGCCTCAATGAAATCCGTGGCTGATTCTCTGAACCATTACTGAGATCATCGTGAAATCACTCTTGTATGAGAGTTGCAAAACTCTGTGGTGTAAATCATAGTGTTTGGGAGAGAGGACTTTCTACCTCCATCCTTTTTCTGTACCTAAGTGGAATGAAAATTAGAACTGTTGCTTATTCTTTAAGATAAATTCACATTCCCTTATCCAAACCAGTGTTACGAAAGGACTCCACTTTGCTCCCCAAATGGGTCTATCAAGAATGTAATGATGACCCTTCATCCAGATCCCTCAATATGAGCTTTTCTAAAAGAACTCTAGAAACAAATATGACAATATTCCCACATTCCTGCCCTTAGACTTTATTTTGTATTAGAGTTATCTGTGTATCCATTTTGTATCCCCTGAAGTATGACGAGCCACTTGAGGCCAGGTACAGCCGTGGTGTGTATGCCAGAATGCCTCTCAGGCAGTCGGTCTCTCCTGAATGTGGAGGGATGAGCACCAGCCATGAGCTACCATCTGTGTGACTGGCCTGTGACCACCTCCAGCTCATGCAGAACCTCTGCACAGAATGGAAAAAGGCCTCCCCTGGGTGAATGTGGTGGAAAACTTGCCCCTCCAGGCAGTTGGTGAGCAAAGTGCTCCTCTCGGGAGGGCACGACATGTACAGCTCCACTGGGGGCCCTGTGACAAGACAGGCTTCAACCCTGCCCTCTTGCAGCTCATATGTATGAGGGACAGCCCAACAAAGAAGCAAATCCATGCTGTCGTTTCAGGCATTAGCTAGAGCTTTGGAGGAAACACAGGATAAGTGGAAGGAATGACAAGCGGGAGCAACGCAGAGAGCAGGCCAGGGAGGGGGCCGAGCAGGAGCCTGGGTAACAGCTGGTGCCATGTATGAAACATTAAAAAGGGCGAAAACCAATTGTATATACCAAGTAGTTAATATTTCCATTTTTTCTCCATTTCAGTTTTCGTTCATTCTAGGTTTCTTTTGATTTTCTGCATTTCTCTGACACAATAGTTTTGTGCTGGGTCAGGCCAGTCCAGGGCGAGTCCCACTGAGTGAGTGCTTTGGGTGAAGATTGAAGCCTCCCCTCCGCAGGCCACAGAGTCTGTGTGGCCTGGTTGCAGCACTCATGGTGTCTCTGACCCGCAGGAGTGTCTCAGGGGCACTGATTTTCCCCTCAGGCCTCCGGCTCGCAGGGCCTGCCTGGGTGGCCGGGGCTGCGTGGCGTGATCACAGTGTCCGACAGTGTTCCTGGCTCCTCCACAGGCTTCAGGAGAAGATTCGCTCAGCAAAGTTCACAGACAAGCCACAGGACTGAGGTGGAGTAGGGGAAATATGTTGATACCGAAATACGGGGAGAAGCACCCTCATGTGAGCTTGGAGTGCTTTGGGGAGATTTCAGGTGACTTAGCTGTGGTCAGGCATCTCATGAAGAGAGGATAACGGTGGGCCTTTCTGCAGCGTGCACAGTAGGTTCCCTCTCCTGGCTGTTCCTTTGCCTTTGGATTTGGGGGGTTTCCCCTGGCAGGGTTAGGACCTTCTGCAGACAACGGGGACCTTGAAGAGTCTGGGAAAAGAAACCAGACCAGGCAGTGGGATGCAGGTCGCCAGGAGCCTGTAGCATGGGGCCCACTAATGAGGCCCTCCCTGGGCCCGTGGCCTCCTCAGTACCATGAGACTGCCAGGCTGAGGATGGACTCAGCAATTTCCTTCTGATCTGAAGTCCTCTACTAGAGAATTCTGGAAAACTTGCCCCAGTGTGGTCTCCTGATCTCTTTGGGTGCAATGAGGGCAGAGACCCCTTGACAGGCCATAGAGGATTCCACTAAGGCTCACCCAGGCCCGCTGCTCCAAGGACCCACCCAGTCCTGAGGATTTGTCATTGAAGCAGTCCCCGCCAGGGGAAGGGGACAAGGTAGGCCCCCACCCTACAGCTTAGTGGCTGGTCTCCCCCTTCTGCAAAATGGGTGCATCCCTGCACATGGTATGTCACATGTGTCACATGTGTCACATGTCTGGCATTCCATCCACACATGTGTGCTTTCACCTGCTGAGAAGGAGCCCGTCCTATGAAGTGCCACGAGTTCTTGTCCATCCTCCAGTTGGTGGACATTTCAGGTCATTCGGGTTTGGAGATATTATGAATAAGGCTGATAAACATTCTTTACGAGTCTTTTGCAGACATGATTTTCATTTCTCTTGGGTAAATACCTAGGAGCGCGGCTGCTGGGCACTGTCGGCAGAGTGGCTGTGCCATTTTGCACTCCCAGCAGGAATGAATGAGAGTTCCAGTCACTCTGTGTCCTTCCCAATTGCTGTTGCCAGCCTCTCTTTTTAAAGGCATATTGCTAGTGGATGTGAAATATACCCGGTTTCTTTTTATTTCAACCTCAATTCCTTTAAATGTTTCCTTCCTAGTCCCTGAATGTAGGCATGAATGGTGCTGAGCGCTGGACCACAGGGCTTGCTCCAGTGGGAGGGTTTTGGCAGACCATGGAGATGACTATTTGAATTAGGCCCGTATTGCAGAGTCAG